GTTGCTGACATTTAATATTTGACTGCTATTACATTGCCTGCCTAATTCTAACAATAGAAAGGATATGACAACATCTGAGACAGCGCACCTCTCTCACTTTTATGTTCTATGAGTTGGATTCACCAAACTCTCTTAAACTCTCTGAACTGTAAAAACCTGTCAGAAAATGTTTTGACCCTGGTGAATCAATGCCCTAAGTTAGTGCATAAGCCCACCAGTTTTGTTCCTGTGCTGTTTGTAGAAAGAAATTCTTGATAAAATGATATAGTGCTGTTATGTATTTGCAAAACTGTTTAAATAATTGTTTAATCTGTTTGACCTTTGTAAAAGGACCCGTGGACATGAAATGCTGTGTGTAAGTAGGTGTCTAAGTGCAGAGACTCAGAACAACAGGAAGTTGTGCAGATACAAACTGAGATGACTAAACTGTCTGCATGAGAATTGTGTGTGGGTGTAAGGTCTTACTGTCTTGGCTTCAGATTATCAACATTTATCAACATTATATGAAATGTGTGGCCTTCTAGGATTGACATTATAATCTGCATTAGCAAATACATCTACATGTTTACAGTGGGTACGGAACGTATTCAGACCCCCTTAAATTTTTCACTCTTTGTTATATTGCAGCCATATGCTAAAATCATTTAAGTTCATTTTTTTTCCTCATTAATGTACACACAGCACCCCATATTGACAGAAAAACACAGAATGTTTGACATTTTTGCAGATTTATTAAAAAAGAAAAACTGAAATATCACATGGTCATAAGTATTCAGACCCTTTGCTGTGACACTCATATATTTAACTTAGGTGCTGTCCATTTCTTCTGATCATCCCTCAGATGGTTCTACACCTTCATTTGAGTCCAGCTGTGTTTGATTATACTGATTGACCGTGATTAGGAAAGCCACCCACCTGTCTATATAAGACCCTACAGCTCACACTGCATGTCAGAGCAAATGAGAATCATGAGGTCAAAGGAACTGCCTGAAGAGCTCAGAGACAGAACTGTGGCAAGGCACAGATCTGGCCAAGGTTACAAAAAAAATTTCTGCTGCACTTAAGGTTCCTAAGAGCACAGTCGCCTCCATAATCCTTAAATGGAAGACGTTTGGGACGACCAGAACCCTTCCTAGAGCTGGCCGTCCGACCAAACTGAGCTATCGGGGGAGAAGAGCCTTGGTGAGAGAGGTACAGAAGAACCCAAAGATGACTGTAGCTGAGCTCCAGAGATGCAGTCAGGAGATGGGAGAAAGTTGTAGAAAGTCAACCATCACTGCAGCCCCCCACCAGTCGGGGCTTTATGGCAGAGTGGC